TGGGGAGAGTTCCCATCAAAGTGGGGCCTCATCGTTCGCCCAGGATATAGCTTGCTTATCGTCTATAAGGCGGTCAGTAGAGAGGAGTCGAGCCACTCGGGCTTCTCCTGAACCCGTGGAGAGCGAGAACGTCGTTGGCGTCATGGCGGTGGCCACTGCATTGAAGAGGTTGGGCGCGGCCAAACTGGCTCGAGATATAGAGTTGAGAGAGAGCTCAATAGTTCAGGAGCAACCACTCCCCTCTGTGGACGGGGCACTGGAGCAATTCGAGGAGGATGTGAAGTCACTGAGAAGGTTTGATCAGGTCGATCGACAATGTCATGTCTTCATGAAAGGGATAGGATCGGACGTACATAGGAAACCTGAAAATGACCATCCCGAATCTGAAGTTATCTCCGAGCCTTCTGTGGAAGATGATGTTAGTGAGGACCCCACTAAATGCCAACCATGTGATGGGGAGTCGGGGAGGAACGAAGACGTAGGGGTAGCGGTAGAGTCGCCGGTAGTCCAAAGTAGAGTTGAACGCATGAAGGAGGATATGGTCAAACGGATAGCCGAGCAGATTGTGAAGGCACAAGCTGCTCGGCAGGATAAGGATCAAGACGATAACGTGCTAAGTGAATACTTACAGTCGACTCCTGTTGGACGTGCTTCGTGCTATGGCACGGGGGAGAGTACTGAGGGCGAGAGAGGCAAGCCGCCCTCGGAGGTCATCCATTGTGAATCCTCGAGTCAAAGTCAGCTGGACATCGGAGGTGGTGTACTGACAGATTGGCTCGGTAATGACAGTTCAACAGGAGGGGAAATGCTGGACACTGAAGATCTAATGGAGTAGGGCTGGGCAGCAGACCTAGTAGCTTCAAAAATGGGGATTCGACTGAACCTTGTCAGTTATCTCCCACCTCTAGCAGACGTATCATCGACGAACAGCGCTCTGCCAATGAACCTCACAATCAAAACGACCGCCTCAGAGGAGTTGGACAAGCTGGCAGACCTGCGGGGGAGGCTGGCACTGGAGGCTCGTCGGGAGGAGAAGAGGAAGGAAGAAGAGGCTAGACGCCTGGCTGTTGGCAGGTTATCGCTTTCTGAGAGTGACCGACTTTGGACAGAGGGTCGCCCTCAGGCGCGCGATGATCAAAGTGGCAGCTAGTGAGGAGAGGGAAACTGTGAGAAGAAAGGCGGTCCAAGGAAGGGCTGAGGAGAACCCAAATGTGAGAGGACGTGACGTCAGGCTAGCGGACATCCTTGTGTATAGCAGTTGCCTTCACCGGTGCGTCGAGCTAAGCAGCGGCTAGCGAAGTCGTTGAAGATGGAGGCTGAGCGAAGGCAACGGGAGGAAGAGGAGAAAAGCAAAACACAGGCCGAAATATTCAGAAAGCGCGACGAGAGGATTAACAGGTGTTTTTAATAACACTCGTCGAGGGGCAACCATATGATTACCAGATATTTGGCAAGGCAGCGAGAGAAGCTCAAGAAGGTGCCCGGGAGGAAGCCAGAGAGGAAGGTATGGCCTTACACCCAGGCTCTCCATCATCTCGTTGTAGACCCCAGTGGCGTCTCGGAGATCAGCACCTCCCGACTATTCCCTTACCCCACCTAAGACGTTGCCATCTTATAAGGCCTCGAGGCCTTGGCTTGCCAATGAGTAGGTGGTAGCAGCAATAGCTTTGCCTTAGAGCCATTCTATCAGAGCTATTGCTGCCACCTCTCCTGTTGACGGTCGAGTGTTCCTCAGTGAGGCACAAGCGAGGGACTTCAACCGTGCCGTGATAGACCCCATCAGCCCAGTTGAGGAGGTGCCGAGGTCGCCCCGTCTGCCTGACTCCCTTGCAAGCAGCGAATCTGTGGATATTGGTGAGACGTCTGGCTAACGGGTCACTGATGGCCATATTCCTTCGTAGAGGATGAGAGCGAGCTCATCGACGATCTTCTCATCGGCATCTGATGACCACGCCGGCGGCTCCATGTGAATGAAGTGTCTCAACAAACAACGTGTCGTCTCGATGTCGGAAGG